TCCGCGCCGCCGACCTGGGTGAAGGTGCCCCCCTTGAACCATCGGTCCTCTTCCGCCTTGCGCTTCCTACTGAGCTCAGCCTGCATCTTGGGATCGACGAGTTCGAGGCCCTGCACCGGCGTGAACGCCAGCGACGATGCCACACCCGTGCCGGTGCCACCCAGTGACGAGCCCACGCCTGACGTGCGGAGACCCTTGCCACGGAGGTCCATGCTCGAGGCGCCCGCCTGGCCGAACCCGCGGAAGGAAGAGGCCGCGCCGCCCAGCGACGAGGCAGCGCCCCAGCCCTTGTTTTTGGCGCTGAGCTTGGCCCGCGTGCGCTGGTCAACCTGCAGGTTCCTGATCTTGCCCTCGCTGCCCTGCCCGATCATGCCCATGCCCTCCGTGCCCTCGCCCGTGCCGTAGCCGACCTCTCTCTCCTCCTTGCCAAACGCCATGCGGTTCTGCGCCTTGCGGAGCTCCGTCATGGCCGTCGCCTCCTTGGCCTTGCGCGCGCGTCTGCCGCCGCGCTTGCGCGAGAGCTTCTCGTCGGGCGCCGGAAGCGCGCGGGCGCCCTTGTTGGGCGGAGGCTCCGTCAGCTTCTCGAGCCGCTCGAGGCACGCCGACTTGAGCTCCTCGCCCGTCGCGCCGTCCGGGCTCGAGTGGATGCGGTCGACCCGCGCGGCGAGGACGAGCTTGGCGGAGACGATGCGCATCGCCTGCTTCTTCAGGTCGTTGGGGATCCCCTGCACGATCGAGGAGTGGTACAGGAACCCCTGCTGCCGAATTCCGATATTGGTGGCCATGCCGGCGGCGCCGGCCCCCTTTTTGGACCCCCACGCCGCAATGTTGCAGGCCGGCGTCTTCGAAAGGCCCGTGAGTCCACCGGCAGCGTTGAGCAGTTGCGCCGCCGTCAGCGAGCCGATGAGGACCGTCAGGTTGGGCGCGAAAAGATTCATCCTAGACTGAACGTAGTCCGTGAGAGTCTTCTTTGCCTTCTCCAACGAGAGAACCATCGCGGCCGCCCGGAAAACCCTCGCGAGTTCGTCCGCCGACATTTCGCGACCCTTGCTCGTGGTGGCCTCGACGGTGACAATCATCAGCGAGGGTCCGTCCAGCACTGACTTGAGCGTGCTCTTGAGAGGGTTGTCTGTCGAAGTCTGCAACGCCTTGATGTTCTCCGAGTCCAGAGGGCCGTTGCCGAGGATCGACACGACCTTGGCATATTCCACCGGGTTCGTGATGAGCGTTTCGAGTTCCGGGAACCGGATGGAGTAGTGATCGCGAATGTACTTGTGCACAAGGATAATCTCGCCGTCAATGAGCGTAGAAAGACTGTTCGACTGCGTCAAGAGGTGATATTCGGGATGGTCTTCGATGTTGCCGATCACGCGCGACGCGGCGGGTTGTGACTGGTACTGGGCGATTTTCTGCGTCAAGGGGACCAAAAGTCGTCAGGGCTATGTCTTCCAGAATGTAAATACTGTAACATGACAGTGTGTTCTTCGGTGGAAGGGGGTGGTGGCTTACCTCTAACACTGGCTCAAGGGTCTGCATCAGACTGGCGACGCTGCGGACGTCATCTACGGCGCCGAGCTGCATCTTCTCGACTTTGGCTTTGGCGTCCTCGGCATCCTCTACCGCGTCGGACGCGCTCCGGGGGATACCGTTCATTTCCTCGTCATCGTCTTCGGCGTCGTCTGCGTCGTCGACATCCATGTCGTTCAGGCCGTTGCCATTGCCGAGTAGGCCACTGCTTGCGCTTGGCGCAACGCCAAGCTCGTCATCCTGCCTCTCTTCGTTTTCGTTTTCGGAGCCCGAGTCCTCGAAATCTTGCAGGAGCTCGTCTGCAAGTGTCGACATGATGGTAACCTAGTTTTGAGTGTGCCGATGATGACGTTTTGCGTGCCGTATGGGCAGGAATCACACAAGGTGTGAGATACAGGTGTGATGGGATGGTCGTCGAAGAGTAGGTAGTGGAAGGCCAAGCAACTGTCAAAGTTTCTTGCAAGGCTGAGGGAGGTTGTTACGCAAGTGGCTCATGCACTGCCATTAAAGTGTGGCTGGTGAGCCGATAAGATAAGAAAACCGCATGAATTCGATGGCTGTCGTGATGGGCAGGGATCCGGCGAGCTTTTGCAGCCTTGCGTCTGCAATTCACCATCCGCCGAAATCCTGACCCAGGCCTGCGTCACGAATCCATCGCCTTTTTCCAACATTTTTGCGAGCCTGCCATTTTCCCCTCAGGAAGTAATACCACGGTCCAAGCACGTCCGCCAACCATGGAGTCGGCAAGGGGCCCCCCGAAGGTCAAGAACAAGGCCGCAGCCCCCATCCAGATCTCGGCAGAGCAGCTCCTGCGCGAGGCCGTCGACCGCCAGGAGGTCGCGCTCCAGGCGCCGACGCAGCGCTTTTCCGACCTCGAGGAGCTCCACGAGCATCAGGGGCGCAAGCGGCGCGAGTTTGAGGACTACGTGCGACGCAACCGCGTCCAGCTCAACAACTGGCTGCGCTATGCCGACTGGGAGATCCAGAACAAGGAGCTGGCGCGCGCCCGGTCCATCTTTGAGCGCGCGCTCGATGTCCACCCCAACTCGGTGTCGCTATGGCACAGGTACATCGAGGCCGAGATGAAGACGCGCAACATCAACCATGCGCGGAACCTGCTCGATCGCGCCGTCGCGCGCCTGCCCCGCGTCGACAAGATGTGGTACAAGTACGTGTACATGGAGGAGATGCTCGGAAACGTGCCGGGCACGCGGCAGGTGTTCGATCGCTGGATGCAGTGGCACCCCGATGAGGCTGCGTGGAGCGCGTACATCAAGCTGGAGAAGCGCTACGGCGAGTTCGACCGGGCACGCGACGTCTTCAGGAGGTTCATCACCGTTCACCCCGAGCCTCGAAACTGGATCAAGTGGGCAAAGTTTGAGGAGGAATACGGGACGAGCGACATGGTCCGGGAGGTGTTCAACATGGCCATTCAGGAGCTGGACGAGTTTGCGGACGAGAAGCTCTTCATCGCGTACGCCCGCTACGAGGCCAAACTCAAGGAGTACGAGAGGTCGAGGCTCATCTACAAGATTGCTCTGGACAAGCTGCCGAGGTCCCGGTCCATGGCGCTGCACAAGGCCTACACAACTTTTGAAAAGCAGTTTGGCGATGAGTCTGGCGTCGAGGACGTGGTGCTGTCGAAACGGCGGGTACACTACGAGAACCAGGTCAAGGAGAATCCCAAAAACTACGACATCTGGTTCGACTACACGCGACTCGAGGAGACGTCGGGAGACGTGGACCGCATCAGGGACGTCTACGAGAGGGCGGTGGCGCAGGTTCCACCAGCACAGGAGAAACGATTCTGGAGGCGATACATCTACCTGTGGGTCTACTACGCCCTCTGGGAGGAGCTCGAGGCCAAGGATATTGAGAGGGCGCGGCAAATCTACAAAGTCTGCCTCGATCTGATTCCGCACAAAAAGTACACCTTTGCCAAGATCTGGCTCCTGAAGGCGCAGTTTGAGATCCGCCAAGGCGAGCTCACAACGGCGCGCAAGACGCTGGGACAAGCCATCGGCATGTGCCCCAAGGACAAGCTGTTCCGCGGCTACATTGAGCTGGAGCTCAAGCTCTTCGAGTTTGTCAGGTGTCGGACCCTGTACGAGCGATTCCTACAGTACAACCCGGCCAACTCGCAGACATGGGTCAAGTTTGCCGAGCTGGAGCGTGGCCTGGACGATCTCGACCGCACGCGAGCCATCTTTGAGCTCGCCGTCGGCCAGCCGGTCCTCGACATGCCCGAGCTGCTCTGGAAGGCATACATCGACTTTGAGGAGGAGGAGGGCGAGTACGAGAGCGCGCGAGAGCTGTACGAGCGGCTTCTGGAGAAGACGGACCACGTCAAGGTCTGGATCAGCTATGCCCACTTTGAGCTCGGCGCCTCGGAAGAGGACGAGGCCGACGACGAGAACGAGGAGCAGCCCGTCAGCGAGGAGGCCAAGGCGCGGGCGCGCAAGGTCTTCGAGCGCGGCCACAAGGGCATGCGTGAGCAGGATCTCAAGGAGGAGACTGTGACGCTGCTGAACGCGTGGCTGTCGTTTGAAAAGGCGCACGGCTCGGCGGAGGACGTTGAGAAGGTGCAGAAGCAGATGCCGCGCCGCGTCAAGAAGAGGCGGCTGCTGGAAGACGACACGCACGAAGAGTACATCGACTACGTGTTCCCGGCCGACGACCAGCAGTCCCAGAGCCTCTCGAACCTGCTGGCCATGGCGCAGGCATGGAAGCAGCAGGGCGGCGGCGATGCCGCGTGAGCGTATTGGCTCTAGCCATCCCTTATTGTACTCAAGCTGAATGTTGTAACACTTTCCACTCGAACTTGCGAGATGACTGGCTTGTGATGCCCTCACCATGGACAGATACGGACTATACAAACAAGTCGTCGTGGTCGATTAGTTCTATGCAACATGGTTTCAGCTGTAGCTAAAGTCGATTCCGTGAAAATAGCTCAACTCGTCGCTCGTTGTCGACGTTTTTGACATGCTCATCCAGTTGGTTTCTCAGGCTTCTCCTCGCGCCATGTCCGCGCGACAGACAGCACCGTCTCGGCATGTCTTATGACGTGGCAGATGGAAGAAATATTCAACTTCAAGCAGCCTCCAGCTTCATTGTCCCGAAAGCAAAACATCCAGGCTGGGCTGGGCAATCCTCATGCTCTACACAGACTGAACCAAAGACTTGTAGGACGGCATTTTCTTGACTAGCGCTACCATTGTTACACCAAGCCTTTCGAAGACGGAACTTCGATTCTCATCATACGACGTCTTATGGAGGGCACTACGGCGAGCCCTCCTTTCCCCCTCCAGTCGGATGTAAGGCGGATCATACGGTTCTTTTTTCGTTCCACGCACTTGTTGCTTGGGTCTTATCCTGAGTTACCTTGCCCGCAGCAGGCCCCATCCTTCTGCATCCCGTCCGCCCGCTCCAATGCTACGTATCCCACATGGCACTATCATTCTAGCCGTTACAAATGCTTTGGTCTTTGGTAGACAGCCAGATAAAGGTGGTGGGGCAGAAGTGACGGACAGAGGCTCCATCGCTTCCTCCTGGGCTGCTCGGTTTCGCTGACGGCTCCTCACCGCCTCAACCCGGAGCTTCTACAGCAGCAGGGACTTTCTCACACGTCCTTCGTTGGTCATCACGTATATATTCGATGCATATTACGTAGCGCACCCAACGCAACCATCCTCGTTGCTACCTTGAATGTCCATGAAAAAGCCCCCCGCACGTTTCCGAAAGCGAGGAGGAAAAAGGAAAAGAGACCGCCAGCGTTCCACACCAACTGTCTACATGGTAGAGATTACGATTCCAACTGACACAAACCAACCACCCCTCAGGTTCCCGATCGCCTCCATATGGATCGATCTTCATCCCACTTCCTGCATGTCTGTTTGCTCTAACTCTTTCCACCTAATTCACCGCTCTGGCAAAGGTCAGGGGTCTCCCGCGGACGTTACACGCCTCCCGTCACCCGCTTCTTGGCTTACTCCGGAGGTCCTGAGAGACGTCGGCTGGTCCCAGAAATCTCCCGATGACTGGCACAGAGGGCGTGTTCTTCACCGGTATTGCCGCTTCGACTCCACCGACCCACGCTGACCCGTCATCCCCGGTCCGGACCCTGGCTAGTAGCCATGTTGCCGCGCCCTTGCCACAGGTTTCGTAGATGCGCATGCTGTGCATGTCGTCGCGCCATTAGCCTCCAGGGACGTGCTCGCCTGGCTGGCTGGCTGGCTGGCTGGCAGTCTTGGCTGGGCTCATGCGCGATGCATGTCGCAAAGGGGAAACACCATGTTGGCTGGCAAGCTGCGTGCCGGGTAGGTACGCACGCACCTGCCGCCACGGCCTGATCTTTGCCCATGCTAGTGATCCCCCTTATGCAGGATGCGTAGTGGTCATCCGATTAGTAGCGGCGTTGGTCTATCACAGTCAATGAATATCAGCGAAATGCTCCCAGCATATAGAAAGAAGATGTGTCGATTGCGGCAGCAGAGCGGGGAAAGGAGTCAGGGAAGCGCCTCTTGAGTCTATCTGGCCTGCGAGGGTCGAGAGTGGAAATGCCAAGCGGCATGCATGGGAGAAGAAAAGCCATCATGAATGTCTCCAAGTGCCAGCCAACATGCAGCTCGACTCGATTTTAGGCCGAGCAAAAGACATATCCACCTCTTAAACGCCATGCTGCCTTCCCAGGTGTAGCTCATGAGCATCATTATATTCGTAGATGTCGTCATCGCTGCCAGCTCTGCATCGAGAGACCAAATATTTTTGTAAAGTTGGTCAGACCAGTCGCATTGTGCTCAGGTGTCCATGTTTGCCCGGCCATTCGCCACTCCCACGCGCAGTTGGTGCTGCGATGGGTTGCGGTTTGTGAACAGCAGAGCAAGTGCCAGAGGCCGAAGCAAGTGGACTTTTCTGGACACCTGGTCTTTATCTCCTGTCGTACCGATCGTCGTAGCCCACAGGAGGCGCCGGCAAGGAGCCAGCGGCATAGGGGTTGCCGTCTAGGTACTGGGGTCCGTAGTCATACCGGTCCCCTTGCGGAGAAACTGGAGTATACCAGTCGTCAGCCCTGCTTCTGCCACGGCTGTCGAGTGATCGGCCTTGGCGTTCCAGTCGCTTCTGGTGTCTGAGCTCTCGCTGGTGTTCCCAGTCTTTGCACTCGGCTTGCTTGTCTTTGGCAGTCTTGAGCTGTGACATTGCGCCCTTAATACCCAGGCCGGCGAGACCGATCTGGGCAGCATCTTGCAACATGGCCTTGGCCTTGAGCTTCTTGGCTTCCTCTGGACTCAAGCGACCCTCCTTGACAGCTTTTTGCCGCGCTTCCCTTGCCGCCATACTCTGATAGACTCCGTTCGCTGCATGAATAGTGGCCACGGCTGCTAAGCCGCTTGTGAGAACTTGCTTACCTCTCATTCTTCTCGATGTCTTCAGATCATCGTCCGAGTCTCCCAAATCCGAGCCTGACGCGCTCGACCGAGATCGCCTGCGGGAGCGGTCTCTGCGTCGGCTGCTGGCGTATGACCTGTCGTCGTCATAGGGGTCCCTGGCGTCTCGGGGGTCCCTGGGATGGTCTCTGTAGTCGCGAGACCCGTGGGGCGGCGGGTAGCCCCGATCGTAGTCGTCATCGTAGGGATCATCAGAATACCGTCTCGGCCCCCGACGCGAGTTTCTGTCGTCGTGCAGGCTGTCATCACGTCGAGAATCTCTGTCGCCATCCCTGTCGTCGGGTCCATTGCCGATTCCGAACTTAGCAAGCTTCTTTCGCGCTGAGTCGACGACACTTCGACTGCGGCTGCGCGCGCGGGGCCGATCGTTGTCGCGGCTGTCGAACGAGTCGGCACTGCGCCCACGGCTTCGCGACCTATTTTCTTTGTGGTGTTCAATGGCCTTCTTGGCACCAAGGGCTCCGAGACCAGCAGTTGCCAAGGCGGCCAGACCGCTCACGCCGCTGCTGCCCTGGTCGTTACCAGATCGCGATCGAGCACGAGACCGAGACCTGCTGCGGCCAGTCTTCTCGTCCGCCTCAATGTTGCCTTTGGAGCCGTTGATCACGCGGTTACCAACGAGACCACCGATGACGGACTCGGCAAGACCCAGTTTGCTACCCTTCTCGCGGTCCTGAGCGGCATCGACTGCGGCAGCACCAGCGGCGGCAGTGAAGATTCGCTTTGTCTTCTCGCCCTTCCAGCCACCAGGTTCCTTGGCCACGCGGAATGCTTCGGTGGCGCCGGCAATGAGAGATGCCATGGCGGCCTTTTGCACCTTGGCGACCTGACTCTCATTGCCACTGCCAGCCTTGGAGCCCGATCGTGAGGCTCGATCAGGGCTGCCGCGGCCACGGCTTCGGTTGTCATCCTTGTTGTCTGAGCTACCGCCGGTGAGGGCCTTGACAGCTGCTCCCAGGCCCGAAGCCGCGAGGGCGTTCTCGAGGAAAGACTTTGAGCCCTTCTTGTCGTCTTCCTCAACGTACGTCTCGTGAACGAGACCATCGCGGCCACGGTGGGCTACGAGTTGCCCTTGTGGCGCCTTGTCGTTCTTGCTGGACTGTTTGTTGTAAAACTCGGCACCTTGGTAGCCCGCGAGGGCACCGGCAGCACCGAGGGCAGCCGAGGTCAAGTAGTTGCGTTCGACGTCGCCGCCGTGCTCTTTGGCGTCGCGACGGTCGTACAGCTCCTTACCGCCAAAAGCTAAGGCGGCACCGGCAACGGCGGCGATGATCTTCTCTTGCTGGTTCAAAACACGCTTGCGGGAGCGGACCTCTTCCTCCTCGCCGTAGACATTAGCGCCCATTCTGCTGCGCCGGTCGCCGTAGTAGTCGCCGCGCCGGGATCGGTCGTCGCGGTAATCGTCGTAGTAGCCAGGCTCTGCAGAGCGGGTCCTGCGAGCATCCCGGTAGCCGGGGGGAGGGAAGTCGCGGCGAATATCCTCAACCGACATGTCGCTGTCTTCTCGCCTCCGGGGCACCAAATCGCGGGAGGGGTGTGGCTTCAGGTAGGATTCGTCAGCATACGCCCGCGGATCACCTCGCTCGGTGCGAGTCTCCTCCCGCGTATAGTGGCGCATACGCTCGCGCGGCTCGTAGTCGTAGCTCATCACGAGGGTTTGCCAAGTACCTAACGTTCGCACTTGGACTTTGGAGGTGAGGGGTTCAAGGGAAGTGGCGGGGTGAGATGTCGTAAGGAAAGGTTTAGAAAGTAGTGAAAATGAGCAAGTATTGTTCAAAAGCGCGGGGTCAGGAAAGCAACGGCCCGGTTCGCTACGATGCAGGCAAAAATTGGATTCCAGATGCTATGCCGCTGATGGGGGGAGGGGATGTTGGGAGAAAAAGGAGGAAGAAACACAGGAGTGCGTTGTGAAGGGGGGAGCAGACGGGAATCGAGCACATGCAGGTGGCTCACAGGTAACCTGGCAGGCGAAGTGGGATGTGACGGAGGGCGGGAGGAGCCTGACAAGGCGAGCGGGCTATGCCACCACTGACTGGGGGGCAGGACCACAGGACGGTCCTGCCCACCACAGGACGCAGGAGGCACTGGCACTGGGCTGTGTCGTGTCGTGGGAAGGTGGGAAGGAAGGTGGGCAGGTGGGCAGGTGGACCCTCATTGGCGACGTGACCAGGATCAGTTGCACCTCACCCATTCTCTAGATCGCTGCTGCCTCACAGGTCTGACAAGGTCCCGAGCGCCTGCTCCATTGGTCCATGCCTGATGAAGTGGCCAGGCGCAACACAGTAACTCCCTGCCTGCAGCCTTGTTGCAGGCCTCCCGCCTGAGTGTTGGGCATAAGGTGTCAGAAGTATACATGGTACTACAGCCTCAGAGGGTTGGGGCCATGCTGACGACGGAACCCAACGACAACCCGGGCCCGGGAAGTGACTGAGACCAAGTATTGTACGTCGTCATCGGGCCTGCTCCCCGCCCCCACTACCGGGCATCAACCGTTGCTCGAACAGGGCCAGACTGCCAGCCAGCCAGTCAGTCACCTGGGCCAGGTACCTTACCTACATAGGTACCTAGATACCTACCAATGCAAGACAGCATTTTCCTTGCAGGGTGCATGGCCACTGATCGGAAACCACCCTCGGTGTTGCGTAGTGTTGCAATTTCTTCGTTCAGGGCCTCATTCTGGATGAGCCAGGTGGGTACATCGAGAAACAGAATAGTCGTCCGCGGCCCCGAGGGTCAAGTCTTGCGGACATCTGGCTCTTTATCAACAGAAACGTAGCAGGTGTACCCAACCGTTGAAAGGAATCACCAACTCGCCTCGAATCTCACAGTTCAAGATCCCTCGCTCGCCCTTTGAAGTTTGGCCTCTTGGGTTTGTGGGTTCTGAGTCGCGGCAATGGAGGGGTAAACTGAGGGCACACAGTGCTTTATAGGAGCAAAGGCTTTTCCGGCACTGACTGACGCAATGAGGAGTTCCCTCTTTTGCCGTAGTGCTGACCTCTTCCCACCCTGCGTGCTCTCGGCTTTCGTTGACAACTTGCCGCCGCCGTAATTCAATCGTCACAAACAAAATCCACCCGTGGTAGCTGGTCTCTCCAACTGCTTATGGCGCCTATCCAGGTAAGCATGTTACCTACATGTGCAAGGCGTTATGTTGAGCAGCCTCGCCAACACACCATCTCACCAACCGCGAACGTGGTCCATGTGCAAATCTTTCTTTTTCCTTCTAGTGGTACAGTACAACGCCAGCAACATCCAATTCACCCACATAACTGTTTCTGCCTCTTTTCATCGTTTTTTTCTCTCTCGGATTACCGGTCCATCTTCATCATCCTCCGCTGATGCCTTCTCTCAGTTTGCTTCATCAGAGTCCAGCACAGCCCAGCCAGGTGATCGAGTAATGTGCCGTGCCGAGTTGGAGGGGCAGGGGGAGGTTCATTTTGCTGCCTATGACGCCGACGAATGAGTGTCTTTTCGCCGCCCCTTGACACCAATAATCTTTGTCCTGTTCCCCCTGCCGGTGTCGCTGTGAATGCATGAAATAAAACGTGTTGGGAGCCATTCCCAAGGTCAACAAGGATAAGCAATCAGAAGAATGTGGGAGAATGAGGCCATTCAGCAATTCCTCGTAAAACAAACGCGTGGAGCAGGAAGACTGGCGCAGCGCTGTTCATGTTTGCCGCGGGCAAGTCTGAGGGCTGACGCTGCTTCTGACTCTCGTCCTGACCTCAGCCTTTTTATCGTGCTGGGCCCCTCTTGACGGGCACCAGGGTCCGATATCCCCCTCCCGCGCTGCAAAATCAAGGGCAGGGAAAACGCCCATCCGTAACGCCAGTTGTCAAAAATCTTCCCTTCGCACTCCTTTTCATCTCTTTGCTGCAGCAAGTGCAAAGAGATTTTTTTTTTCCAAATCAGACTCAAACGGTCATGCCCAGATGACCACCGAGTCCGCCAAGAAGCCCCCAAGATCCATCCACCAGCCATTGAGGTAGCCCCTATATCCGCCTTCCGGAACATCGTATCCGTAGCTCCTGACCGTTCGTGACAGGCGTCGCATGTCATGCCAGCGTAGCTCCTGGCGAGCTAACACCCGCAGTTGTTTAGGAGAGCTGGCCGACATGCTGCACACTCTCTTCGTCTATCCTGCGCTTGAAGACGGTCGAAGAGCGAGGAGAGATGGGCAACGCCAGTTGGGCAAGAGGGATGCTGCTCCAGACCAGACATGGCTGCACTACAGAAATCTGCGACCATGGCGGTGTCGATGCCCTCCCCAGCAAGGTAGTCCACCCAGAACCGGTAGAGAATCTTCATGTCTGCGTGGACATGTCCTGCCTCGGCCCTTGGCTGCAAGCCGAGAGCCCTTTTGCAAAAGTCGAAATAAGTAAAATCATCAAGAACGAGTTGCTTCGTGTCATTATGCAAGGGTGTATCGTCCGTGGTCATGCTCGTGGGAGTCAAGCCTCGCAATCGACTCGTAACACATATGTGCACCCGGGAACGATCCGGTGCAACATTTCTGCCTGCTTGCGCCTCACCGCAGTTGGCATGGCAGACACTTTCGCCACTCTACGACTGGAGGGCCTCGACCTGTGACTCGCCGTGAGTACCATTCACCTGCGCCTGAGCGGCGGGTGTGGTGCCATTCACGTCGCCGTTGACCTGCTCCTGCTGCTGGTCCGCAAAGGCACTGCTAGGCTGGAAGTCGGGAACCGCAGCAGAGAGCTGGCCGTTGGCCTCGCCGTGATAGACTCCGTTCATCAGCGGCAGGCCGTCGTATCCATGGCCGTTGATCCCGTTGACGTAGAGAGGGGGCGAACCCAGAGGGTAGTCGGTTGCCGCCGGGTCTCGGATCGCCTGCTGATCGAGAGAGTAGCTGTGGAAGGATTCGGGCCCGTCGGTCTGAGCGCCCTCAGACCTCTGGTCTGTGGGAAGCACAAACTTCTGCCAGTGGTCGCGGGCGCGCACGCGTTCGAGCCCGTCCTTGCCGACAACGTAGTCAATAGTCGTCGACTCGGCGACAGCAGCACGCAGGAGGTGCAGGTTGGGACCGCAAAGCTGGAAGACGCGCTGGAAGCCATGGATGAGGGACAGAGCGACAAAGCCCTGCGAGTCCATGTTCTTGCGAAGGTGAAGGTCTTTGCACAGATTCTCCAGAGAGAAGTAGAAATCAACCTGCTGTGTCAGAACAGGCTTGACGTGGAAGTCAAATGCCTGCTGAGGAGGGTAGACAGGGGCCGTCATGGGCATGTTGGGATAAGAATCCCAGGTGTATCCCATGTTGCCCGAGGTCGAGATGGGGCGCGGTCGGTTGCCGTTGCCGTTGGCGCGATGCGAGTAGTTCGATGCGGTAGACTGCCGATTGCCGCCACGACCAGAGGGCCTCGCAGACCCGAAGCTCTGGGGGAAGGAGTTGCCCTGGGGCAGGGGAGGGCTCGTGAACTGCTGGTGGCGAGAGGGCACAGGCTGTGCGGCGAAGGCGCCAGCATTGGCGTTGAAAGACGCTTGCTGGTTGTGAGGAGGCACGTTTTGGTGCCCGCCACGGCCACGGTAACCGCCGCGGCCACCCCTCTCCCCTCGACCATCACCACGGGGGCCAGTGTGCTCCTGGAATTGTGGTTAGCTCGGGTTCCAGATGCTTGTTGCCGCAAAAAGACACGAGGAAAAGGGGTGGCATCAACTTACGCTAGCGCCGGCGTCCTTAGGCCGTGACGCGTTCTTCCTCGACTCCCTAGTACGAGTCGCCTCGGTATGCCTGGTGGTCGACGGGGGGACGGAAGTCGGCCGGCTAGGCGCGGCACCGTCCTTGGACTTCTCTCGCTGGTCGCTTCCGCCCTTGACCGCGTTGCCGGCAGGGGCTTCAGAGCTGCGCTCCGCGGCACCGGCGGACGTGGCATTGCCACCACCCCTGGTGGAGACATCACGGCCGCCGCGTCCGTTGCGGCCGCCGCCACGAGAACCGCGCATGGCAGGGACAGGAGTCTCAAAGTTGACTGTCGGCACAAAGTCCATGCGAGACCACTGCTTCTTCTCCCTCGACTTCTGGCCGGCACTGTCATCGTGAGCCTCGGGTTGCTCTGTACGCTCCGTCTTCTCGGCGGGCTTGCGCTTGTCGTCCTTGATAGCCGTCTCAGGCGTAGGCCAGAAGGTAGCATCGCCGACCGGGGGCAGCGCATCAGCCTTGTCGCCCGCACGCGAGCCGCGGGCACCGTTCCTCCTCGATGTCTCGCCCTCGGTGCGAACATCCTCGGCAGCCTTTCTCGGTTGCTTGACACCGTTTGCAGCTCCGGACTGGGCGGCACCGGTGGTCGACGAAGAGTCGACAGAGTCGGCAAGTTTGGACTTCTTCTTGGAATCCTGCGAGTTGCCCCACGTTTCGCTCGAGGCAACGGAGCCATCGGCCTTAGCAGCAGTGGTCTGAGCGCCTGCGGGCGCAAAGCTGGGCTTGACCCTGGCATCCTGGGCCTCCTTCCGTTGTGTCCAGATGTTTACAGACGGCATTGGCGCCTCTGTGAGCTCAATCTTGGGCTGCTCCTTTTCCTTCTCGGCCTCCTTGTCCTTGTTCTTATCCGCCTCTCCGTTGGTGGCGGCCTTACCCTTCCGACCCTTGCGCTGGCCCTTCTTGCCGTCGTTCTCGTCGGTGACGCGGGTGGAGGAGCTGGAAGAGCGCGCGGCGCTCTTGTCGCTGCGGTAGTGGGAGGTCTCCGTGTTTGTTTCGTCGTCATCCCGTCCAGTGCCATTCACGGCAGGAGCAGATGCTGAGCCCGTGTCGGTAGGGGCTGTTGAGGCAGGAGTGCTCTCCTGAGCGGGGGCAGAGTCGGTTTGCTCGGCCGCAGAGGCCTCTTCGCCTCTTCGGTCCTTCGTAGAGGCGTCATTTGACTTGGGGCTCTGCTCGTCGGCAGCCGACTGGTTCTTGGTGGTGTCTTTAATATCAGAAATGCGGTCCTCTGGTGCTGAGGCCGACTGGGTCGGAGTCGCAGATGTGACGTTGGGTGTCTGCCCCTTGGCAGCTTGCGCGTAGGAGAAACTCGACGAGGTGGCCATGGCTACCGTCGACTGTGAGTGTCCAGTGTTTGCGTCGAATGACATGCAATTTGTTGTTCGTCCTGCTAGTAACAGGAGGCGGCGGCGGCAAGGACGGACAATCACCAGATCCGTCCTGACCGTATCCGAAGGACGGATTTGAATGTGTCACTGGAAGAAAGTGACAGGCTGGAGGAGCAGTGGCGGCCGCTCAACACCTTGGTTGTGGGCTGCCGGTGCGTGCCTGCAGAGAGTACAAACGGGCCGACGTTGCCGCGATCCGAGGCGGAAAAAAACAGGCGAAAGCGGATGACGGAGACGAAGTGCTCGTTCCCAGAAAGGAGGACAAAGATTGGGTAGCTTCGCAGGGTGGGATTCCTTCGGGGTGACGAGGAATGCCGAAAGGGGTGGTTGTGAGGTGGTGTGGTGTGGGTGTGGTGTGGTGAGAGAGCCGGGCGTGGGAGAAGGAAGTTCGACTGCAGGCGAGGTAGGGAGAGAAAAATCTCAAATGTTGTAAAACGCGAGGTTCGATTGGCGAGTTCGGGTAGACTCGTAGCGCACGGGGCCTGAAGCTGCTAGGTAGGTGGTAGGTAGGTAGGTAGGTAGGTAGGTACCTTGCGAGGAAGGCAGACAGGCAGGCAGGCAGGCAGGGCAGCAGTTGAGCAAAGTCGCAGTAAACTCGGGGAATCGGAAGCCGGCCAGAGGTGAGAACCGACCCCTCAGTGCGCGCAGCGAGCAATTTCGATCCTTGATCGTGTGTGCCCTGTAAAAAGAGGCGAGCTTCGTTGAATGAGACGGGAGGGCCTGGCGAAGAGAGAGGAAAAGGGAGGGGGGGGAAGAAGAAGGGCTTCGTGCAGTGAAAGTGTGGTAGAAGAGGGAAGTTTCTCGTCGACCAGGTCGAATTAAACAGGCCGAGATTTTTGCTGTGGGAAAACAATTTTTTTTTCCTTGTCGCTGAAGCCCGCCGTAGTTCCAAACGCTACCAGGTTGGCATCTAACTGCAGGTGGAGTTGAACGCCCGTTCGCTCCACAGTCAGTGGACAGGGCAGCCTAGGATAACCCAACCCGTCGTGGTCGTGGGCACGCGACCGGTCACGAATGGCGGGCAGGATGGATAAATGGAAGAGGTCAAAGGCAGTGAGGAAGAAGTGGGCAACGGACAGCACGGAGATGTATGAAAAAAAAGTAGAGTGATGCACAGAAGGGTTCTGGAGTTGGTTGGTGCCTGGACAACGCGTGTTGTAGGGATAATCGTTTGACGTGTCGAGAGTGTCCAGTTGGGTCGGGTTGGGTGTGGTGTGCTGGGCGCAGGTGAATGGTAGGAAGGTATCATTCATTGGTGGGTGAGTAGGTAGGTAGGTCCCCAAGTGAGTGATTCGGTGAATGAGACGACCACAAGGACGGACCCAAAGAGTACCTCCGGAGGGACGCAACAAGTTTCGACTGGTTACCTTGAGGTACCTACCTGAAAGGTAAAGTACGTGGATTTGCAACGTCAGGCCGACCGACGGGCTGAGCAGGCAGGCCACAGTAGGTAATTCAACTGGCGCCGGGTCTCGGCATGGTTCGGCGGTTAGCAAGGCCTACCTGTGTAGGTATCTACAAGGCACAGATGCTGCTTGGGTTGGAACATGATCGCGGCCACCGTGCTCCATCTCGACACAAGAAGCATGGCCATGCACGAATGGTCAAAGCCAATAACTCATCATGACTACAAGATTTCCATGCAAGAGCTTTGCAACGAGTCCAAGTCATGCTCAGGTATGTGTCCTCTGTATCTTTACTGCACATGCTGGCGTGCATACCATGACGAGCAGCTGAATAGTCGAACCTCTGTTCCATCAGGCAGGCTCCTGAACCCGACTAACGGCCGGCATTGGGAGTCCTACCTCGGCCCTCTGACTGACTCCCGACCAACCAACCTACCTTACCGTTGCCTCACACGGATGTTGTCAGATGCGTAAACACTGCTTAGATTAGCGAAAGAAAGCGCCTAGACCGCGCAGGCCGCGTTCAGGGAGCTGACTCGTTGAAATGGGACCTGCGCTGCACTTGGGCTCGCCGTGGTCAAGTCAAGGGCCCTGACGTGTGTGTGTTCTTCCTCGGTGTCCTGCCGGTCGGTCCACCAATTGTCCGCCCACCTTCCCGTTTCGGTAGGCAGAAGCAAACAACAGGTATCTTACGTACCGAATTAGGTAAAGACGTACGAGCTGCCAGTTTTTGTGTCTTGCCCTTATTACTGCAGTTGACGTCCATTTTGGGCCCGACAAACCCGTCCTGCTCAAACAGGATTTGGTTTTCTTCTGTTGTTTTACTCAACCCGTAGCGGTCACGGGCCATC